AAGGACATTCATTGCTGCAAAGGAGGAGGGGACACACTGCAGGAACCGTTGTCACAGCCAGATGGCAAGGAGGATTCCGTGAGTATAACTTTGTTATTTTCAGCCCTAGACCAAACGAGCAGTTAACCCTTGTGGTGCTGTGGTAAGCTGGGGTAGCCCCACTGTAGGGTTAGGAACATTTTTACCTGAAGTTCTTCTTTAAATTCTTCTTTAGGTATAAAAAATACTGTTTAAAGGAAACCCTTTTCTGGGAGGGGCTGCCATTGCTGAACATTTTTCAAAAATGATACATGTCTGTTCATCACTGTTTTCAACATTTCTAAGTCACAAGTATGAAGTCACGAGTATGAACACACCCGAGTTCGAACTTTTGAACATGAAAAAACTCGAACTTCGAGCTGAATGGAAGTCTATGAGACCAGAACTCTTTAAATCAAATCTCCCCATTTTGAAGGCTTATATGCAATTTATTGACCATAAAAGGGTTTATGGGGATTTGGGTACTGACCTGGGCCACCCTATAAACCCTTTTCATGTATCAATGAAAAAAACACTTTTAAAAAATACAGTTTTCAAAGGAGCAGTGATCTTAACATTGCTTAAAGTGTAACAATTAAAATGAAAAATTCCTTTAAATATCGTGCCTGGGGGGTCCCCTTGAACTGCCTGTAAAGTGGCAAATCTGTGCGATATAGAACCTTGTCAATGTGAGCCAATATGTTGCGCTTGGTATTAAATAATGTACCTATTGTACGTGTCCTCCTATGTATCGTGGATATTTTCTGTCCGTTTTAAAGGCAATCATTAATTTATTAAAAAAAGTGGTGATGCTCGTGTCGTGATTCGTTACTTGGAAGTGAGTGAAAAAAACACTACATTAAATGGCAATGGATGTAAACTATCTTTTGTTAAATGAAAATGTGTATCAATATTCCATGATAGTTTTTATAAAAATTCTAAAAATGTGTTAAAATAAAATAAAGGCAATGGACTTAACCTCTCTTTTATTGAGTGTTTTGTTCCATCAATATTCAGTGATTGTGTTTATGATGTGAAAAGTTCCTGAAACCGTGTGGTGAGGTCTGATGCGCCTCGCTCCTCCACCTCAATTATTGTGTAGTAGTGAAAGATTCAATGTGACTGTGATCATAATATCAATGTATATTCAAGTAAAAAAAAAAAAAAAGGTTTTGTAGCAATTAATTAGATAAATCACATCAATCGATAAAGGTGCCAATGGTTAATCTGCTATTCAGACTCAGAGCTCTGAAAATAATACTGGCCAGGGTAGATAAAGTACTTTCTAAAGATTCTAAGTAGAATACATTATTAACCCATATTCAATCATTGTAGTAAAACCACTATATACCGTATTTTGCGGTCCATAAGACGCACCGGACCATAGGACGCAGGGAGGTCCGGCGCGCCTTATGGAGCACCCGACAGACTGTAGCTTCTGACACACCTTCTATGACAGAAGCTGTGACAGAAGCTGCAGTTAGTGACCGCTGAGACATGTGGCGCTGTGATTACAGCGCCACGGTCTCAGTGATCACACAGAGCAGACGAAGAAAGTCAGTTCTTCGTCTGCTCTATGGTGATCTCCATCGTCGCCGCTGCTCGGTTTTAATACGAGTGATCTCATTAGATCACTCGTATTAAACGAGCAGTGGCTCCTACTACTCGCCCGGCGCCCGAAACTGCATGTCTCGGGCATCGGGATTCGCTTCATAAGACGCAAGCACATTTTACCCCTCCTTTTGGGGGGAAAAAAGTGCGTCTTATGGAGCGAAAAATACGGTATGTATAGAACCTGCCGCAGAAAAACTGATATTTCTAAAAAAAAAATGCAGTTCCCTCTTCCAAACAATACCAGACCCTAAGGCCTGGTTCACACCTGTGCGTTTTACAGCGCGTTCCTACGCTTTGTAAAACGCTCAACATGTGAAAACCAATGATTGCCTATGGGCATGGTTCCCACCTGGGCGTTTTACAGCGTGTAGGAACGCTCTGCAAAACCCCCTACTCCCAAAGAAGTACAGGAGCTTCTTTGGGGCGTATTTGCCACACGTATCCATTGGGATACAGCCAGGTAGCCCTCGGAAACGCGCGTTTGTCGCACGTTTTTTTATCGTGAATCGCTGAAAAAACGTGCGGCACGATACGCACGACAAACGCTCATATTCGATATGCCTAGGTGTGAACCCAGCCTTAAGGTCTGGTAGGAAAATTAGGAGGGACACCATTTAAAAAAAAAAAAGTGTGGGGTTCCCCCCAAAAGTCATACACGACCCTTTAGATCTGGTATGAATTTTAGGAGGGACCCCAAGTTACAACCTAAAAAAAAAAGTGTGTGGGGTTTCCCCTCAAAGTCATACCGAACCTTAAGGTCTGGTAGAAATTTTAAGGAGGAACCCCTCTCCCAAAAATGGGGAAAAAAGATGTAGGGTCCCCCCTAAAATTCCCAACCAGGCCCTTGATCCGGGCACAGGCCTGGCAGGGCAGGAAAGGGGGGGGGACGAGCGGGCACTGGGAGAGTGCTTTTCCAGGGTCGCCCCTGGAAAAGCACCTTGTGCCGATGGGGACAAGGGCCTCTTCCCCACAAGCCCTGGGGCGTTGGTTCTGGGGGTGCGGGCAGGGGGCTTATTCACATCAGGGTACCCCTTTAATAAAAGGGCACTCAGATGTGCCCCCCCTTTCCTTGTGAATGAGTAAGGGGTACTTGTGCCCCTGCCCATTCACTAAACTGTTAAAATATATTGTTGATAAAAACACCAGACTTTTGAAAAAATCCTTTTATTGAAAAAAAAACCCCCAAAAGACAGCATATATACTCACCTGAGCCTCAGTCCCGTGGCACTCGGTGCTCACCTCTCTCCCCCTCTGCTCCGGCGGGTGGACTGTCCCTCGGTGTCCTCATGTCTAATGCAAGTCAATGGACATCTGTAAGACGCAATAACATCAGAGGGGGAAGAGGCTGCGGGGACCGGTCTAGCAACCAAGAGGGGCCGAGGATCAGGTGAGTAAATATGCTTTATTGGAGCCCTCCTAGACAAAATGAGCACTTAACCCTCTGCCTGGAGTGTTTCAAGCTGGACTTGTCCGTTAATCATGGTCACACATGGGATCCAATTTACAAAGCTAAAACTTGGGGATAAGGATCCTTGTTTTCACTAGTGACAGGTATTTTCAATTGAGTCCAATGAGATTTGAAACTTACAGTCACATGCCTAAAAATGAAGCTCCTCATCCTTGTGTAAAGCTTCGAGAACAGAGCCTGTGGTATTATTGGAGGCGTCCACCTTCACATTCTATTTGTCCATTATAATGGCGGGAGGGATGGTTCACACCAGAATGTGGAGAATTGCATGCTTACAACTAGGGCCGGGCCCAAGCAGAGGCATGAGAGGGTGCTGTGCGCGGGGGGTTAATGAAATACACTATATTACCAAAAGTAATGGGACGCCGGCCTTTACACGCACATGAACTTTAATGGCACCTCAGTCTTACTCAGTAGGGTTCAATATTGAGTTGGCCCGCCCTTTCCTGTTATAACAGCTTCAACTCTTCTGGGAAGGCGTCCACAAGGTTTAGGACTGTGTCTATGGGAATGTTTGACCATTCTTCCAGAAGCACATTTGTGAGGTCAGGTACTGATGTTGGACGAGAAGGCCGGGCTTGCAGTCTCCGCGTTAATGCTGACCCCACTCTGTCATTTTACGTGGCCTACCACTCTGTGGCTGAGTTGTTGTTGTTCCCAGTTGCTTCCACTATGTTATAATACCACTAAGGTGACTGTGGAATATTTAGTAGCAAGGAAATTTCAGGGAACACCTGAATCCAATGATTTGGAGGGTTGTCCCAATACTTTTGGCAATATAGTGTATGTCACCAGCACACCGAAGAGCTTGTGACCTCTCAATAAGTCTCCATCCACACCCAGGCGCAACAGAAATGCGGGTTGCATTCACGCACAATTGTCCCCTGCATTTGCCAAACGTCCCTATTGATTTGAGTGGGTGTGTACATGTGATAAACGCAGGAAAGTATCTAATGCAGCAGATTCTGCTACAGGTGTCCCACTTTTTTTCCTGTGCGTTTGGGTAATGGCACTGCAAGTTCACATTCACGGAACGCCTAGGTGTGAATGGGGCCTAAAAGTCTCTGCTCTGTAACAAGCTTTTCCTTTTGCTGGTGACCTGTATTATATATGCTCTATGCCAGGGGTAGGCAACCTGGGCACTCCAGATGTGGTGAAACTACAAATCCCTCATGCCTGTTAGGGTCTTGCAATGCCTCATGGGACTTGTAGTTCCACAACAGCTAAAGGGCCAGGGTTGCCTACCCCTGCTCTATACTAGTTAACCTTAGCACTCCAGGTATTGTGGAACTAGAGTTATGTGTAATTATGTACAAAAAATATGACATTTCTGGTTTTGGCTTTAGATTTACTTTAATATTTTGCTTTCTGAAGGTAGGAGTGCAGCAAAACTATGCACACAAAAACTGGAGCAGTTGCCCAATCAGCTTCTGTCATTTTAACTATAGCGACACTGATTGGTTGCTATGGGCAACTGTTGCATATTATTTGCCAGTTTTAATAAATCCTCCCAGAGCATCTTGATAAACTCTGCCAGGACGAATGTCTGACTTTTACTTTAGTAAATTTATATCTTTCTTTATAACCCCGTTTTCACATCTCGCGGCCTGTTCACATCCACACAGGACATCGTCGTCATCCGGCCATTGTGATCTTTGGCATCACGTGCTCCGTCTGATCCCGGAAGTGAACAAGCGCGCGGCTTCGACAACGCTCTGCGCTATTACAGGCTCTGAGAGCCAGAGGGCGGGTCGGTGGGAAGAGACTGCACTTGGTCTCCGCCTACCGCTGCCTACTTTCAGAACAGTGGGCGGTGTTGGGGAGGAGTTTTCTCTGAATCTCCACCACCCACAGCAGTCCTGAAGTTGAGTGGCAGCTGGAAGGCGGGGCAGTGGGAGGAGCCTTCTTTGAATCTCCTCCCCGCTGTCACAGTGGCACTTCCTGAGCTAAGTGGCAGGCATGGAGCGGGAGTCCGGGGTGTGGGCGCTGCTCCAGCGTGCGGTAAGTGCCCCCGGTGGGGGAGGAGTTATTAGATCGCCGCTTATTGTACGGTAAGGTTCTCGTTATGGCGGAATATAGCCTGTGTTATGATCACGTGACCCTGTCACAGGGCTATGTATATGAAGCATCAGTGTTGGGGTTGTGATATGATAACGTTCTTTACAGTCTTCTTCGGGGATAACGTGCGCTGTTAGCGGACAGCTGACTGTCTCTGTCCTGCTCCCCTTCGATGACGTGTCTCCTCCAATATCTCTGTGTCACTGAAATCACAGATAAGCTTTACCAATCTCCTGGCATTTCCCAGAATCATCATCAGTCATTACAAATGTGCAGCGTTCATTGAAATAACCCCCCTGGTGATCCTGCCACCGAGGTCCTTCTTCAGGCTCTTCCTGCCATACGGTGACAACGCTCTGTACTTGTCCCTCAATTGAACTCCTGTGTTGTCACGTGGGCAAGTGGCCATTACACAGACATGGCCCACTGTAGTCTCCATTAGGAAACCCACTCCGAGAAACGGCATACAGGTGCATATGGAAATATAGATAAGATGTCTCTGCAAAAAGATCAGCAGGTATAACAAACAATAATGGGTAGAAACAAGTTTTGTTTTATATAAATGGCAATTATTTTAGGAAAATAAATAGGGATGCACTGATACAGTTTTTTTTCCAGTATCAAGTACCCATATTCTTCTCTCCGTACTCGCCGATACCAGTGTTCTGTCGAAATGTTGGCCCCGTCGAGATCTCCCCGACTGATGACTTCACATCCGATGATTCACCAGTAGCAGATGGAGACCAGACGGTGTTGGTTCGCTTGTGGTGCCAGCGTTGGCATCCCATTGGGATAGTGAGCTCCCGTCTCTGCTCCGCTTCGCAATCCCCTGCAGGTTCTCCGACCCCCCCATGTTACTGTGCCTGCGTGGTCACCCAAAAGCGCACCTACCCAATGCTAAAACATTTAATCTCTTAGCATGTTGTGCCGTCGGATGGGCGCACAGGCACACTAACGCTGTTTGGAGGACTTGATTCTGCCGTTCAGTGACCGCACAGACGCATTGACAGCGGCACTGCTGGCACCAGCGCATCTGGTCTAAATCTCCTACTGGCAAGTCACCTGACGTGATGTCACCAGTCGGAGACCTCGACGGTTCTGAGTTTTTGACAGAACACCGGCATCCCGATGTACTATGGGCCTGGCTCATCATTCACTAGTATTCTCGGTCACATCTGGGAGGAGGGCGAAGCGGGAGGAGAATTACGATCTAGGGATATATAGACTATTATAATTGAAATTCTTCCTTTGTGTTTGTCTGTAGCCAATCGATTGGACAGAACCATTTGTGATTGGACTTTTGGTGTTCCACGTTGTCTGCTTCATAGTCACAATAATCTCCTTCAGATTCTACAAATTCCAGATCGCACACTTTCTGCTCATGGGTAAGGAAAAGCAAAACTGTTTGTCATTAAAATGGACAATTGCTGAACACCACAGCTTGGTGTGCTGGTGACATTCCTTATAATTCCAAAGCTCAGTATATCGCGAGCTACAGCTTGCGGTATACTGAGACCGCCGCAGCCGGTACGGATCCCGACATTACTGTCCAGATCCACCCAGCTGCGTGATTGACAGCTGGCTCTGCCTATCTAGAGGCAGAGCCAGCTGTGCCCGCCCCCTCCCCTGTTCGTTCCTCCAGTCAGTGCTGCAGGGTTGGAGAGGGGGGATCCCTGCAGGGAGCCGTGAGTGACAGTCAACGCTCTCTGCAGGGAGATGATCGAGAAGTGAGCGAGCAATGGTATGTGTTCGCTCACTTCCCGATCTATTGAGCCGACGTGTTACAGTTTCATTGTCACACGTCGGCTCGAACTATGATTTTCACTCCCCTCATAGGTCTCCTTTAAAGAAGTCTCACTAGGAGATGAAAATGTGTATTAAACGCCGTGAGGACCCAGTGCACGTTGCATTTAGCCCCTTTTGAAATCTGTGCAGGTTTTTTTTGTTTTTTTTTAAATAAAATCCAATTGTTATTTCTGTCAGTGCCGGCTGTAACTTAACCCCAGTCTGAAGTCCAATTTATGGGTGTTTCTATAGGGGAGTTAGAGCCAGCACTGAGGTCACCGTCCCCTCTTCATTCTGCAGCCCTCTGCCACCTCCTCTGGGCATAACAGGGCAGTTGTCTCTCTCAGACAAGTAGAGTGGCTGGCTCGTGTTGTTGTGGGGTTTTTTTTGTGAACAGCGGCACTCCTCTCCAGCTGCTGATATTCACAACAACACAAGCTGACGGTTATTCCTCCACTCTCTATCCCCGGAATTGCTGGTAGTGGGTCTGAGCTCAGTATTTCTTGTTACTGGCAGAGGAGATGAGAGAGGGCACAGGGCTGCATGGCAGAGCTGAATATGTTCCATTTGGCAGCTTTCAGAGAAGCAGGGAGTGGGGTTTGTGCAGGCTCAGTGTGCATTGCCTCTCAAATCCCCTCTCCACTGTTTAGTAATAAGATAATGTTCAAGAGTGGAAGGTCCTACAGCCACAAAGCAATATGTAGCTTCAATAGTCATGACCTTGGTTTACCCTAGGGGGCCGCAGGAGAAAATCCTGCGATTGGTGGAGGGGGAGGGGTGGGTTGGGGGTAAGCTATCCGACCACGCCGCTCAGCAACCCCTTCACCGATTGCAGTGGGGCCAAGTGCAATATACACTGGGTCCCCCTGAGGTTTTACAAGCTTCATCTTCTGGTGAGATTTCTTTAATAGTACTACTTCTGATCTCAGGTGACCTTGACTAAGAACCACAGCCCATGCTGCTTTTATGTATCACTTATAACTGACAGGGTTATTCCCAAAAGGGTGAAGAGTTTGGAGAAGGCAGGAGATGAGAACAATCTAGGACAACTTAGCTGAACTGGAAAGTGAGCTGAATTGGATAATTTTTTCCAAATCAGCTATGTTGTTCTATATTGTTTACTTCCCCTGCCTTCTCCAAACTCTTCACCCTTTTGTGATTAACCCTGTAAATACTGCAATGATACTGTTGTTCTCATATATGTAGACAAATAGAAAGAGTTGGAAGTCATTGGGGGACCTGTCTCGTGTGCACCTTCCCCACTTCTTAGGGTCACCACCAAGCACTAGTACTAATGCTTATTTGGACATTCAAATTTCTGTAAAGGTGACCTTTCCTTTTTACTTTTTTTTTTTTTTTAATCAAATGCTCAGTTTGAGTTGCCTATATAAACACGGAGTCTTAACTCACAAAACAATATTTGTTCATTTGCTATGTTAAAATGTATTTCCCCTAATGATGTGTGTCCCATTGCTGCTGTGTTAGGTAAAATTGGAACTTTCATTCATTCTGACACCGCTGTAATCTCTGAACTTCCGTCTCTAAAAATTAAAGCTCAACTCTGGGCAAGATCACTTCCCTGGATTATTTCTTTATTTCATGTATTTATATAGCGCTGACTTTTTACGCAGCGCATTACATAGTTGCACATTCACATCAGTACAATGATATGGAAGTAGTTCTGTATCTTAGCATTGCAGTGATATACATTTAGCTTTCCTCTAACCGTTTGTAAAGCGTTCTCTTCTTTCTTCTGGAGAGTACAGCTCCCGGTCTACTTCCAGCACTCTGCAGACATCAGTGCTATAGTTCCATTAGAGAGCAGTGCTTATGTCCTGTCCCCACCTCCTTCTCCACTCGGCCATTCACAAAAGGCAGCCCCAACCAAATGTACAGTATATTGCTGCACTTCTAAGGTAAAGAACAGCTCGTGTATCGCAATCCAGAGAAATGTTCATGCTCAGAGTTTGGCTTTAGGTATGGTGACATTGACATAAAACAATATATATTTAGTAGATGTAGTGATCGCCTCTCATTAATGTTATCTTTGCAGTTGCCTTGGTGAGCAGCTCTGAATATATCAATGTATATGCGGCTCTGAACTGGAAGTAAGTATCAATTCATTTTTATACATTTCAGTAAAGAAACAAGCAACGGGTATTCAAAAAGAGATAGATGTAAAGGAATGTACACTGAGTGGCCAGATTATTATGACCACCCCATCAGTTCATTCGTTGAGCCACCTTTTGCCTTCAATACTGCGGCGGTTCTTCTTGGCATTGACTCCACGAGATGATGAAAGGTGATGCGAGGAATCTGACACTGCACTGTTGCCCTTCTGTTGTCTTGTACCAGTCTTGCCACTCTCCGTTCTGCCCTAACATTGACTAGTCGCTGACGGCCACAATTCGCACGTTCAGACCCAGATTTTCGGCTGACAGTCCAGTCTTTAAACACTTTAACAACAGCTGCTCTTGAACATTTAACGAATTCTGCTGTTTTGCTGATACTCGCTCCGTGGCTCCGAGCGCCAACAATCATCCCACGCTCAAAGGCTGTTAAATCGCGTTGTCTCCCCGTATCTTCAGAAACAAATCACTTCTACTGTCGTGGTAAACAACCTGCTTCCCTATTTATAATGGTCTGGCCCTCTAGCAACTTCAGCGCGTAATTATAGCTAATTTGCCTACAAGCGTCAGGTGGTCATAATAATCTGGCCACTCAGTGTATATACCGTCTAGCATCTGACAGTGACAGGTGGGTATCCATCTTGGAGCTTGTGCATTCTGATCAGAACTGCATTTGTCTCCATACAAGTTCATAGGAATACAATCCAAAGGTACTGCTTAATATTAGTCTAAACACAGTGATATTGAAAGCCTATCTCCGGGGAAGAATGGAAAAAAAAAACAACCCTTGCAGTGTGGCTACCCTTGTGCTGCATTGGTTAATTGCTAGTTTATGCCTAGGGGTTAAAGCTCCCTCGGTATCCTCTGGTATAATGCAGGGCTGTGAGCTCTGCATTGTACATCATGATTTCAGCAGGCCTCTATTGACATTGATCCTGGCTCAACAGTTGGATGGTATTCCTCTCACACAGTAGTGTCCCATATAGTCTCAGACATGAATATGAAGCAGAAAATCGCAGAGCATAATAGCGTTTTATTCAAATAAAGGCAAACCATTCAAAATGAATGGCACCACATCACACCAACACATGTAATGTGTGTTACTGCAATGCCATAGCGTGAATGGGCCCTTAAAGGAGAACTATGAGGTGAGTGCTTTTCACTCACCTCATAGTTCTAGCCGACCTGTGACAATGAGACTGCCACAGGTCGGCTCAGTAGATCGAGAGGTGAGCGAACACATACCGGCGTTCGCTCA